TAGAAAGAAAAAACATATGTATTTTACGTGGTTCGGCAGTGTGCCTACATCTACGGACAAGAACGAAAAGAAAGAATTTCAATATATAATCTGAGAGTACATTACCAATAGGTTAGCAAACATATTTATAGAGAAACTAACAGAGTTTTTCACAAATAAAAACTCTTTAAGATATACATCAAATATTCTTTAGGATAAATACAAAGAAAATCCAAATAAATTTTTCCAACAATATAGATAAATATCACCAAAATTCAAGACACAACAACAAATCTTCCTCTTGGATTGAATTTCCTTTATCATCAAAGCAGCTAACCATCTTGTTGCACCGTCTTGCCAACATGCCTCCACTGGGGCGCTACTGAGTATCATATACTCCAGCCAAGTTTAGGCCGTACGTGAACTTGTTATTTGATCCCTAAACAAAGTGACATCTGCCATCAAGTTTTTTACACACAACACTAATCATTTGATCAGCATCTGAACTCCTTGGTTCCTACAAATCAACTGGCCCTGTAACTAATAAGTTATATGCAACCAGATTTTCATACCTCTATGGTCATCTAATCTCTCTTCTCTCATTGCCTATTGCAATAATATATGGTTGTTGTTGATCAGGTGCACTATCACCCTCTTAATTAAGATCATGTACTTCATTCCCTGGACCATTGGACTGAACTTCTAACTCTACTTGTTCTCTGACACCGCAATATGATTCTACTATTGTATTTCCCTTTTGATTGTCTAATGAAGCAGACTCATTAAATGTCATATCTCTGCTGATAATTAACCCTGGAGACTTGGAATCACTACAACACAACCTACAACCTTTTACTCCAGATGCATACCACAAAAATATGCACTTTTTTGCCTTCGGCTCATGCTTACCATCCTTAATATGAGCATAAACAGGACAACCAAACATTCTTAACTAAGAGTAATCAGCATGTGACTCATACCATACCTTAAAAGGAGTTTTACTCTCAATAGCTGTGGATGGAGATCTATTAACTAAGAAACTAGCAGTATTCGCAGCTTCAGCCCAAAATTCATGCCCAACACTTGAATGAGACAATATGTTTCGTGCTCTATCATAAAGCATCCTATTTATACGTTCTGCAATACCATTCTGTTGTGGTGTCCCAACACAAGTGTATTATCTCACTATACATTCCGTATTGCAGAAATCATTGAACTTATAATTGCAAAATTCTAACCCATTGTCAGTCCTAAGACAATTGATCTTTTTCTCTATCTGCTTCTCAATTATGGTCTTCCATATGACAAATGTTGAAAATACATCTTCCTTAGATTTTATAAAATACACTAATACATTCCTAGAGTAATTATTAATCAATGCCATAAAAATACCTGGCACCACTCTTAGAGGAAACTCTGTCTGGACCTCATAAGTCAGAATAAAAATAATCTAACTTATCTCTTGTCTTGTACACTATTTTTTTGTTGAATTTCACTCTAGTTTACTTGTCAAACACACAGTGTTCACAAAAATCCAAAGCTCATTCTTTATACCCATCCAATAAACTCTGTATGCTCATAGCAGACAATCCCTTATCACTCATATGACTCAAACGTAGATGCCACAACTGATTCTAATTACTACTCCCTGATGCTACAGCAGCTTCCCCTGAAACTACATTTCCCTAAAGAACATACAATCTAGATTCTAAACTGCCTTTCATGAGTACCTTGGAGTCTTTACACACTTTAAAAGTACCATTCTCTGCATGATATTTATAACACTGAGTCGCTAATGTAAAAAGAGAAATTAGATTTTTTTTCATCTGAGGAATATGCCAACACTCAATAATCCTAATGATACCATCAAATATTCTTAATATGATATTATCAATCTCAGCTACAAATAGCAAACTATCATTTCTCATATACATGGTATCACTCATCTACTTGTAAGTATTAAACCAATATCTATGTGGACATATGTGGAATGTAGCATCAGAATCAAGAATTCAGGAGTTCTTTTTATGATCCGAATTCGCATATAGAACTACCCCAATACTGCTGCTATTACTATCATCAAAATTATCTCTGTCGATTATATTAGTAGAACTCTTTTGCTCTTTTTCTCTCTTTAGCATAGGACAATCTCTCCTAAAGTGACCCTTCTACCCACATTCAAAACAATTTTTTTTTTCCCTCTAGATTTTGATTTGCCTATTCTTTGTGCCCTTCTCTTACTTACCAAACCTTCCCTTTTTTCTTTACTCAGTAAAGTTTTTTTGTAACTCTTTCGATTTTAGTACGTTGCTAATATTATCTAGTGAAATACTAATTTTTTCGTACAGTAGAGTATCAATAAAAGTCTCATAAGAAGATGATAATGAACACAGAACAATCAATACTTGATCCTCATTTTTAATCTTAATATCAATGTTATTCATATCCATAATTAAATAATTAAACTCATCAAGGTGCTGTTTAATGGGCGTATCTTCACTTATTCTGAAATTGTACAATATTTTTTTCATATAAAGACGATTCGTCAGTGATTTTACAAAGTACAAATCTTTCAGTTTCTTTTATACAGTTGAAGCTGAAACCTCTTCAGTAATTTCTCGTAGAACAATGTCATTAACACTCATAAAAATCGCACATAAGGCTCTATCTTGCATTCTTGCTTTTTTCGACTCTCTCATACCTTCAAGATATCTTTCTTTAATTGCCCCCCATAAACCTTGTAGTACCAGGGACGATCTCATTCTAATCTTTCACAGACTGAAACTCATATAACCGTCAAACTTCTTTATATTAGACTTTATAGATGTCATCTCGAATCCCAAACTGTGCACCAAAAAACCAAACAGAGAGAAAGAAATATTGTCAGAAAGTAAAAAACACTCACAGAGAGTCATCACTGTACAGAAAACCACCAAACACAACATCGGAACACCACACGCGCCTACACGCTCTCCCACGTGCCGCCACATCCACGCGTTGTCACATGCGCGGCCACTGGAGATGTTATGCATTGCCATCGACCGCTGCTTGCTACCGCTGAAAAACACACAAAAAATGCATAGAACCATGTGACTCGAAAAATCAAGCACAGATCTGGTGAAAACGCGCTGAAACGCCACCGAGAACATCGCAAATCAAGCCTAAAGCAAATCGGGTGCCGTCGCACTGGTTTGTCTTCTTCGACGCGCGTTATCCCTCTTTGGCTCTAATTTTGAGCATAGACAAGGCCGAACGTCGCGGAACTACCTTCGGTTTCTCTTCTCCGGCCCTCATCACCCGATTTGTTTTTTCTTCCCGTGGTCGCATACCAATCATCTTCTCCTAGCCGCGCGGTCCCTCTTCTCGATCTGCTCTGGTCGCATTC